CTAAATTTTCTTTGCACGTAATCTAAAATACATGACTGAAATTTTGCCACCACGTCTTTCATTGCAACGTAAGCCATTTCAAAACTCCCACCAAAACAACCAACCAGCAAATAAAGCCACTCCAGCAAAATCAAGTTTCAATGTCAAAAGGGTTGCCATATAAGCAACATTGCACCAAAAGCAAAGCACAGAACTTATATCGTCATACATCTGAGGGCATATATAAGAGTAATATCCAAGAATAAAGGTGATTGCACAGATAATTGCTATAATTTATTCAATTTCCATTTGCTGAAACTCCTTATTTTTTTTTACTGATAACCCTTAAAGTCCTGAACTTCCATGTGTGGATATATTTATGAACCTGTACAAAGACATGGCAACCTCTTGCAGTGATGCAAGAAGCAATCATTCAAAGAACAGCTATGAAATCAGTATGCAGATAATATCCTGAGGAGTGTATAGTTTTGACCATCTTCCACAGTTCATCCGTCATCTGAGGATGAAGCAGATCAAATAAAAGATGGCGAGTGATATCACTTTAACTGCTTGATTGATGTGAAATCTGGATACCTTGATGGACAAGGAAGCATTTGAGAACCTTGCAGAGTTTTTCTGCTGGTAATTGCCCTATGCATTCACATGTTATGTAGCTAGAAAACAGTATTTTTCAAGCAATGAAGTTAGAGTAGTACAACCAGTTGCAGCTTTTTGTCCACATAGCATTGTGCTGTCTGTCATTACGCCTCTAATATAAACTGAAGGTTATCATTATCATGATGATGGTATTCCAAATTATGATATAATATTGCTGAGTAGTATGGCATTTAACAATTATCATAGAACTAGACCTGTCTGTTATTGCTTCAAGATTCTTACTTAGCAGCTGCCCATGATAAAATAGAAGCTGGTTTTCGAAAATGTCCTCAGCAGCATCTGCCAGTCATTAACTACATGCATCTTCTGAGATGAAAAACGGGTTTTCTGTGGTGGCAGAGGATGCCAAATGTTGACTCTTCTGATCTTTCTTTGTTTTTGATTTGTCTAATTTATCTTGTGACAAACTTGCATTTTAGATCATTTACATAAATCATTGAGTTTGCATTATTATGTAACCAAATCTTCAGAGTGCTGCAGTTTCTTTATCAGGTAGTGTATATAAAAGAAAGAACTCTTTAGGGGCTAACATTTCATAGGCTTCCTCCTTATAATAATTTCTTCTCCAAATATCGTAGCATTTCATTTGGAAATCCCAGACTTGTGTTGATTTAGATCTCAACTCTGGACATAATTATAAATTCAAGTCTGAGTAATTCCCTGACGTCTGCTATCTTTAGGCATGGGAACACATACGTTTATGAAGTATCCATAAATTTATCAGATGCAAAAGCACTAGAAATATAATCCGTACTCTCTGAAATGATTGAAACCAAAGTAAAACATTAGAACCATGTCATGAATTGATTTATCCGAACTTGTGTTTTAGAAGAAGGAATTGTTTAGCATGAACTATAATTTACTAAGATGTCATGTATAATTGTGCCATTGTTTATGCAATATGTTTTATATCAAAAAGTCCAACTTTGCAAGGAATGCTAAAAATGAATAGGTATATAGAAGTTATATTCATGCAGGAGAGTGGGAAACAAGGACAAACTTGCAAATACACTATGAGATCATCCCAGTGCTTGCAGAAGAGTTATGGTGTGTATATGTTACTGTGAAAGACCGAGATTTGGAGAATGTCGACATTCACCAGTGAATGTCAACATTCATATAGTCGCTTGGTGCATGTCCAAAATATTTGCCAAATATCCTTATTTCTGACTTAGACCGACAAATGTCGACATTAACCATGAACTAATGATGAATACGTTGGAGATTTGCATTTTTTTCTCCATACTTCAGGTGACGTAACGTTTTCGTCTGTCTTGCTGAGAGGAGTAACCAATCCTTGGTGAGAAAAGTTGTTCGTAACTCTAAAGAGGCGTTTTCACTGCTTGATATGTATCTTTTGATTCTAACGCGAGAAGGGCGACTCGATATTTCTTGACTTCTTAATAATGACAGCAGTCGTGCTTGGATAAATGTTAAGCTTTTAGTTTTAATTGAGTCGATAAAAAACTTTTTTTTTTTTTTAGTTTTGCATTTATACTGTATATGTCAAAATATGCTAAGTAACAGCACATATAAATAAACTTTTGAACTTAAACAATATATTCTAAATAAGAAAAGAAAATAATACAAAAAAACTTAATTATGCGATTGAAATCTTATTTATTGCAACAACATAAACTGTTATGACATTTTGAATTGCACAAGAGTCCCTTGCTTTTACAACTGCATTTAGTTGTGGAACACTTCCTTTTGCAGTGACAGCGTGTATAATCTTGCCCTCTACTTCTCGAATTAGCTGCAGCGGCTTCTCTCGGCAACATTACTTGAGAAGGTATCTCATCTACGGAAAGTAACTTTTCTTTACAAATTACAAACTGATTACGGGTATAAAGCTGCTTGAAGGTGTCATTTTTATTTGCTAGTTTCTAAAAGCTGGAGTCTTATTCCAACAACAACTGCCAACATATTTCAGCTATCTGTACGACCATGGTTGACATCAGGGACTTGTATTTGTATGGTATCATGAATTTGAGAAGGAGAAATTTTTTTTGAGGTTCATAACATTTTCGTTGCTTGCAGTAAAAAGTCTGTAATCCAGACGTCCATTATCTTTCGCGGCCTTTATAGATCTTTTTATAGAAATTAACTTGTGTTGTTCAGTCCAGCCTTGATATGAAGACGTGATAGGTTGCAGGTTCTCCTCAGTATTTTTCTTTGGAATATGGTTTTCGGTATGGCCACTGCTTAGATTTTATTCAAAAGTATTAACAGTTTCTTCAAGCTGTTCTTCGGTTTCAAAAGTATTAGCAATTTCTTAAAAGTTGTTCTTCGTTTTCAATATTTGCAATTAGTGTGCCAGGCCAAAAAGACAATGCCCCTTCTTGGTTTAAGCCAAACATAGCTTCATAAGGAGTAATCAATCCCAGTGAGGAGAGATGTGTTTGAAAGCTGTGTTTGAAAAATAAAACAATTGTCTTCTCGTTTACTCGCAATTAATGCGTTTAACTTTTCAAGAAATGTTCACAATTCACTGCAATATCCATTCCACATAAATTAGTGTATCGGATTTTAAAAAAAATTAAGAAAACATTTGATGTATTATCAAACTTAGCATAAGACTGACAAACAGTTTTCCACAGTATAACAAATTCATGCTACATAACTTCAATTGCAGCAAAGCAAAGGATTTGGCGACAGACAGTCACCCCTCTGTTGATCAACTTCTCTTTTCGACCTCCACCACAGTATATCTGTAATTGTCGACATACACCGGTGATGGTCCGAATGTACAAGAATATAACCAAATATTCGGTCTTTCACCGACGTATTTGGTATGTGTTGACATTAAACGGAGAATGTCGACATTCTCCAATTTCGGTCTTTCACAGTAACATATACATACCTATACAGTAAAAATTAGCGTAGAATGGGTATCCCTGTGGCTGCAGTGAGGAAGAGATGGCCACTAGATTTGGATATTTTGCTGCTGAAATACTTGCAGCAAGGCAGTAGTCACTTTGGTCAACAAATTTTGGCATTGGGACCTGGCTCTCAAATGACATTCCTCATCATTTCATATATTTATATAATTTAGATTGGAGCTCTTGGCTGCCAAATCTATTTCCATGGCATGTGTATCAGAGAATCGTGTGTTAGCGGCATATGCTGTTTGGCTGGAATCAGACTTCTGAACTGAGAATAACTCCACATGAAAGTATAACCTCTGTGTGGATAATTCTGAATTGTCAAAAATATTAAGATAAGTTTCTATATATTTCTCTTCGCAGAAACCAGGGAACTAAGATCAGTCTACGAGGAACAAGAACATACTATAATATATTCTTTGCCAAACTTTACTTAAGAAACAATATTCTGTTATAAGTGTTATTCACTTAGTATTTTTTGTGCTCAAACATGGGCATTTCACTTGCAAAGTTTCAAGATTCTTTGCTTCATATAACATATAGCAAGTGGCCATTCTGATTTTGGTTGAACAGCTATTATTAAGTTTGTCATCTTTTTAAAGCTTTTAATAATTTCATTGTTAGAAAATGTCAACTTAATCATTGCCAAAATTCCATGAACAGATTTTTCCAGGATACTTCCTTTGCTTCTCTTTCAAATTCATGTAGCTGATGTCTCTTTCACTTTGCTATGATGTCTCTGAACCTGATTTCTTCCTTGTATATCCACTTCAGCATGCATTGTTACATAACTAGAAAATTGACTCTTTCCAGCAGTGTTTGGATACTTTTAATCATACAGTACAAAGTCTGTAATCCGGACATCCATTATCCGGAATGATCTATAATCTGGACCTCAAAGCCACAAACTTTACGCATGTGCATAGAGAATGTGCATACATTATGCATGCGCGCGTTGAAAGAAATGTTTAATAAAGTAGACAATAAATATTAAGCTTTTTTTTTTTTTTTTTTCCAAATTTTATACCCTTTAGATCATAATTGCTCTTTATTTCATAAATTACAGTTTCGTATTTTTAATTGTATAATTTCTGCATGCTATCTTACCATTTTTAATTGATGATCTATAATCCGGAATCGCCGAAGTCCCGACGAGTCCGGATTATGGACTTTGTACTGTATAATACATCTGTACAAATTTGGTCTTACTCCCTGTTTTCCTAACACACATATTTTACAAATGGATAAATATAATTTCCTGTTAAATAACATTTTATTTTGAGAATGGACATTTTTATGAATAATGGCGTATTGCAGCATGACACTGATTATATACTGATCTTTTTTTCATTAGTAATATTTTGCAGTTTATAAGTTAAAATAAAGATTGTCTTTATTATCTTATCTATTATTTACAGTATGATAAAGTTTTTAAAGTTCTAAAATTTTTCCCCCAAGGTATGTTATCTAGAGTACAGTTTATAGCCTCTGGTCCTTGGTCTTGCACATTTCGAAATGTACCATCCTTTTCCAATCGACTTTCCTGCACAAAAGAAATGGCTGTTTTTTTCAAACAATCTTTGTGTCTAGGCGTTCATGATACTTTTCGTTGGAAGAGCTCAAATTCAAACCAAAACTCTTCAGTACCTGAAGTAAAAGAAAATGAAAATACAGAACTTACCATAGGAGGAAAAGGTATAATATTCCAGTCTTTTGCTTCTTTTTTTTATGGATGTTGAATCATATCAATATCTTTAATAAAAAATCTTAAATTTAATTTTATGCACATAAAATAAATTGGAATATTAACAATCTTTTAACGAAGGATGATATTTATTTGTATTTATCTGAAATCTGTTTTTTTTTTACGCCTCCCAATTACTAAAATTTTTAGTGGACTTTTTATTAAGCTTTATGAAAGTTCCCAAGTAATCTAATTAAACTTTAAACCTCTGTGGATTACTTACCATAACTGCTATGTATGGAGCATTTTCTGGGTGTTTTTATGAGTTCGCTGAAATAGTTACTTATATAAGAAAGTATCTGAAAAGCATTCTTTTAATAATTATTAATGATAAAGAATTTTGTAGGCCATAATATTAAAAAAAATGGAAATCTGTGATATCGCATGATGGTATTGTATCATATGCATGTAAGAAATTACAAAAAAAAAAAAATATGCTACTGTACTAAAATTCATCTTTCCTGATATTAAAATTTTTTTAAATATAGCAATTCTAATTTTGCTTCATTATCAAATCTGTAACTACTTTTTATAAAATCTGTTGGCTTTCTAATTACAAACTAAAATTTCCATTTTTAAAAATGTAACTTTCTTTCCAAAAGAACTAAAATAATTTATCTTTTTATGATAACATTACATGAGGTATCCTAATGGTTAAATGTAAGGGTTGTCTTGAGGTTTTAAAAACGTAAAATGTGTATACGGGCATTGTTTTGAAATTAAATAATCATACCATTCCCTTATACATTGAAATATTTGAACATGCATGAAATTTCGGAAAGGAACCTGGTTGTATTGTGCTGTAATTCATTTTCCTATAAAAATACACAGACCAAAAATTAAACATCAGACTTAATAATTACAGACTGACTTCATTGGACTAATTACCAAAACACTTCAGAGTGGATGTCTGGTAGAGAGAGATTGAGGAATGTCGGTTTAATTTTGAAGCATTCTCTGTTATGGTTTTGCATTGTGCACATGTGCAGGAATGCTAATAATTTGCATATCCCTGCATGCAGTACTTTTCATGTAAATTTGACATTGTTGTATGCCACTTTCATGGTGAGCAATTTTAATAACTAGCAGGTAAGAAGGCAACTTCTCTCAAACAAGTTTTGAGTTCTTTTATTAATACTTTCTCAGTTGTTACTAACTGTACGTTTCCATCATATGTCTTCCATCGTGTAAAATTTCACACAGTTTCACTGTGTGAAATTTGAAACACCTAACATTTTTTGGCAAAATAACATAAGCATGAAAATATTGGATTGCTTCTGCATCATTTCTTGGCAATTTAGTAAATACATGATGCAAAATGCAGCAAAAATTAAACAAAACAAATTGCCATTTTCCAGAGAATATTCCATGGAGAATACAGTAAAAATGAAATCATGGTGATTATATACCCATCCTTAAATTATTCTTAAGTTGACATTGAATTTAAAAGAAGCTATAATCATCTTGCCACTTAGCCCACCCCCAATAGCATGAACAATAAAAGGAAATAACTGGAAAAAAAAAAAAAATCTCATCTTTCAAAACAATCCAGAATTGCTTCTAGGGTTGCCAAACTCGGGAATAGGAGTCAGTGGCAGTATTTTTTGTGACATATGGGAAGCTTCCAACTAATGCAGAAGTGTCAGAGAAATAATTTCTTTTTAATATTTGATCGTTGTTTTCATTATGTGATATTTTATAGTATAAAAAGTATCTGTCATATTCTTGGTTATTCTGTTATCAGTTTAATAACTTTATGATTATTTCTGTATATTCTCTATGTATGAATAATAACTCCCATGTAAATATTAAATGATATTCTAGAAATACTGTTCATAAACTAAAGAAACATACTTAATTGTTTGATAAATTTTTTATTTAAAAGAAATATTCTTTAATTAATTGTTGATCTTTATATGAATTTTTTTAAAAGAATGCGACTAGATATGTTTAAATTAATTGGTATTTTAACCTGTTATTTTCATTAAACATATTGTAGAAAGTAGCGGCAATTGCTGTTACTAGTGAAAGCATTCTAGTGTAAATGCTGAATTTAAAGAGATAATTTTTATGCACTTATGTGAGGAGGGCAGGAGAGAAGAAAAAATTGTAAAAATATATATGAAAACTTGGGAACTTGGTGAAAATTTAAAGTGCAGTCGTACCATGTTATTTTGCTTCGGTAACTTATATGCTTGCTTACTATCCAGAATAGATTCTTCAAGGAAAACAAAACTTCATTAATCAGTTGAAACCTAAAATTGTTGAATTCCTGCATGTTTAAGACTTGTTTAAGGTGATTGAAGTAATTTACATATTTTTGTTGATTAACTGACTAAACTGGAAATAAACAGTGCAATGCATTGAAATTCTTAACTAGTGACCTCTATAAATAGAAAAATAATTTTGCTAAGACCCAAAAGACTTTGTTTTATGACTAATGAATGATTAATGAATATCTAAAAAAAATTCCGTTTTTACACAAGCAATTGCATGCATATATTTTAAACAAAATATATAATTACATGAGATGTAAATCGGTATTTTTACCTTCAAAAAGAAATTTTTTCCCTCCTGATGTATTTAGTGACCTTCGTACATAAACTTGAAGCTTTGGTTTATCATATATATTTTTGTGTTCTTGATGTAAGTGTTTATGTTTTGCTTTCATCTCATAGTATAGTTGCCTCGATTTATTTTCACAGTCAAACAGACCGCCAAAGATGCAAGCTATCTTGGTATTATTATTGCTGGAATTGGTGTGACAGGTATGCATATTTCCTCTACCAGGTATTAATTTTTAGTTTCATGTATTATTTATATTTGTTTATCTATCCATAATTTATTTACTCAAAAATAAATTAAAGATAGATAGTGTTGCATGTGTTTCAGCTGAATCTTAATCAGCTGTATGGTGTAAATTAAAGTTTTGTGGGGAAACTTCAAGTTATTCTCTAGTATTATATTTATTTTATTTTTTAGGTATAATGTTTTATGCAATACTGAGAGAGTTATTTTCTGGACAAAGCCCTAACTCCATATACACAGATGCTTTAAAGATATGTCGAAATGATATTCAAGTTGCTGATACTCTTGGAGAACCAATAAAAGGATATGGTGAATTATCTTCTAGGGGAAGACGAAGACATGTTAGGTTTGTAGTTATTTTTATGTTTAATTTGAAGTAGACAAAATGCTTTTTGTATTTGTAGAGTATCTGTTAAAATATCTGTATTTAATATACATCTTTGCTACCATAATTGAGAAAGTTGTAATAATTTTCAAATATTAAAAAAAAAAAAAAAAGAATTGGACTGGAAGAAAAGAATACTCACAAGAATTTAAATTTTGTATTTTTTACTTGGTTAATAAGCGCCCAGTGTATGCCAAAAAACTCGCCGAAATCCAGTATGTCAAGGTATATATTTACTTAAATGTTTATGTATTTGGCATGAACTGAATCATTAGAAGTATACTCTACTGGTAAAATGATCAGCATAGCTATGATGCTGATGGGCCTACTAGGTCCAAATCCCATATAAGGTTTTAATAAATTTAATCATCATGTGTACATAGAGCAGGGGCATGTAAAACTGTTCATCAAGTAGCCTCTTCCTGTATTCACTAACAGGGAAAGAAGGATGCAAGATACTTCGACACCATCTCTTTAGACACCCTGACAGCATCACTTGAAATGGTATAACTTGATAATATCCGTAGGTATTGGGATTTACCTGTTAATCAATGTTCCATCTAATTTCTCTTGTAGCTGTATGGTACATACAGTAATTGCACCATCATAATGTTTATATGTTGATGTGCAGCAGTTGGCTGCGTGGAAAATAAAGGCATTTCTACAGCTTCATAAAAGTGTGCTTGGTCACATAGAAGGAGTAGTGTTGTTAAACCATGCTGCAAATTAGTTCCGTGCTCTATTTTTTGTCACTCATTTAATGTCTTGTTTCCTATTTCATTCTTGCTTTTTTATTTATTTATTTGTTTAATGTATTTTTGTAAGTTTCCTGTTGTTCTTGGTCATAGAGGAGAAAAACCTTTGATGCTTTTACACTTCCATTTTCTGGACTATGTGACCTATTCAGACTTTTCCAAAAGTAGTAAAGCAGAATATTTGACACTAATATTCAAATCAGGAGATTTGCTGTATGACAAACTGGATTAATTTTGGGAACATTTTTTGTGATAATCTCTTCTAACATGACAAATAATATTTTAATTTTGCATGTATTTGAAAATGTTTCTTTGTAAATTTTTTGTTAAATGTCTAGATGTCACTGACAAGACATAAAGTAAACTTAATTATTTGTGGAAAACTGTGGCTAAAAATACATTGATGTTAATTGAATTTTCAAAATTATTTAATATTATTTTCTCTAGCTATTGCTGTGGAAAATGTTTTTTATAATTTTTGTAAAGCTTAGGCAGTCCTCCTGTGCTTTGTCTAAATTAAATGATCCTGACTATTAATTCAGTCTGTAAGCATCTGTACTAAATCATTGTTACCATTAGGAGAACAAATTAATTTTCATTTTGATTTTTGGATTTGATGGAATCAATCATATGTCTGAAAACTAAATATATATTTAAAAAATCTTTTTATATCATCAATAAAAAAATTTTTTACCCCTATGTAAAATATTATCAATTGAAAATTTGGTTTCCTTGAAGAGTTAATAAGTCTCATGTATCATAATATGATGTAGATATTTTAAATTCTTATATCTCACTGATAATCAATTAATTAACAATGACAAAGCAATTTTAAAAGTATCTTCCTAAAGGCATTTTAAAGTGAATTGATTCATGTTCTTTCATTACTTATGCTGAAAGCCATGGATATAGTTCTATTCTGTTGCTGAGAAAAGAACCAGGATATGCAGCAACATTTCATGTCTTCAACCCTATCTCTTTATGGCAACATAACACTATATTGCTTGCAGCTTCTGTCAGACAAATGTGTTAGCACAGTGTATGTGAGTTTATATATACATATATAGTTCAGCTTTTACAGACTTGATGTATATCCTGTCGACTTGATGCATTATCCTGTCGACTATGAAATTTGGCAGAGATCCCGCCAAAGTTGCAGCTGTCATTCCGTAGAATTCTAAAGCAGCTGATGCCTCTTTATTTTAAAAACAATCTGTGTTCAACCCATTTCGTTCTTACACTTTGTTAAAAGCTTTTGTCGATTTCTACTATTTTGTTAGGTTCTTTGATTTTACCAAACGTTCAGTTTAGAACACTATGGCTAGTCACTTCCCACTGGTAATTGTTCCAGTTTATTACTATTTTATTAGCCATATTTAGCTGATCCTTTTTGCCTGTTAACACAATACTTCTTTAGATGATAGGATCCTATAACTTTGAAGATAATCTACTGTGTATGTTGTTCTGTAAAAGGCAGGTCCCAGACTTTAATCATTTTTATTTTCAAAATGCAAATAAAAAATTAAGCCTTAATAGTTAACCTTTTGGGGACAAGATGGCCATTATATTAGCTTTGGCTCCCCCCTGTTTAAAAGGAGTGGGATGTCCTTTGTAGTGGCCATGTCTTTTTTCCCCATTTTCCAAGCTGGAGCTGAAAAGGTGAGGTGAACTGTCAAGTTTAATGTCCCTGGAGTCTTAACCACTTATCTCTTTCAAAGGCCTTTGTGTTAAGGATCCAGTTTATAATTCCCTTTTTCTTCTTGCAGCTTCAGAATTCAAAGATAACCTCGTTTGTAATTGTAAATTCTTCCTGTTCTTTCGAAAACTTTATAACCACACAATTTTTTTCTTCCAATTTGAAAGCTTTTTGCTAAAAAAAATTTGCATTATAAAATATATAAACAATGTATAGTACAAGTCGTATTTGAACTAATCACTGCATATTTTAAATTGTTACTTTTCACTTTTAAGCATTACATTTTCAGACAAATTTTTCATTTTTCTGCAATTTAAATTTTAACATTTACATATAGTTTAAGTTTTTAATCATTTAACTGTCTTTTATTTTTTAACTATTCCTTCCATGGAGAAAATTTTAAAGAATTTGAATAATTTCAATAAAATAGACTTACAAAACCATGAATGTTTGTAAATTTATGAAAATATGCGTATAGCGTCTGCGTCTTTTGGGGGAAGGGGACAGGAGGTACTGCTGCATTCAGTATGATCAGCAAAGACCTTTTTGATACGAACAGTAGCTTTTCACTTAAACATCTAGAAAATAAATTAGAACCTGGAAGAATGCATATCAGCAGGTGTGAGAGATGCTGGACTGCTTGAAAAACAGAATGGTCCAGAGACTATAAAGAATTTCGGTCATTTTTCAAATATTCTGTAAGCTATTCCAATCTTTGCCATTAGGGTCTTCAAAGGAATTTTCTTCCCTAAATGCTTTTTTATGTAACAAAAATAAATATTTTACACTCTTCATAACTAGGCTATCAGAGTTGAAGAATGTTCAATAGCTGTGTATTTAAAATGAACTTTTTAGGTTCATGGATGCAAGTTAAAATAGATTCAATCAGTTTTGCTAATACTGCCTATTTCTATTTTGCGCCTTTTCTGAGCACAAAAGTTTAAATATTCAACTCAATGTATGCATAATTCTTTAGTGGCATACCTTTGGTTCAATACTTTTTGTAAAAATATCCATTATTTCAAATCCTCTTAGTCATATATATATATATATATATGAAAGAAAACTGCTAAATTTAGCAATAATACTTTTAATTCCTCATTTTAATATGGCTATATCCTCTTCCTTTGTTAAAACTACTGATATATGAATTTAAAGTACATCATCTGTAAATTACTCCACATTATGCCATTAAGTGCAGGACTGCAGATATTTTTATGCAATCGCAATTCAACATTTAGCAAAGGAACCAAGTCTCTTAATATCACGGTTACTAATTGTGCCACCCTTTCTTCCTGCTTCACTTACAGCTAGCCAATCATAGTTTTCTGTGTCTTTCATCCTTTATCTGAAAATGTAAGCTGTACAGCATTCTGGGGTTGTATAATACACCCATAATGAGCTGTGAATCAATATTTGTTTATCAAAGCTTGCTTTATTACAAAATAAAACAGTGTTGAATTAACTGACACTTCTGCTAAAGTTTTTCGTCTCTATTATGTCCTTCTAATACCTCAAGTTATCTACAGAATTATTATGCACAGCAATTTAGTATCCTAATGTTTTCTCCATTTGTAGTCATCTCAAGTATGAAAAGGATGGTAAAAATTATATGCGGATGAAATTCTATGTGGAAGGAAGTAGAAGAAAGGGAACTGTTCACTTAGAAGTGGTTGAAGTAAGTATTAGGGTTTATGTTTCTCTGTTGGGTTTTTTTGTCCATTGTAATGATATAACTGTTGTATGTTCTTTGTAAAATTTATTTAAAAAATAGTTTCATCTTCTCTTTCTTTTAAGTATCTTTTTTATTATTTGTAAATAAAGAAAGAATTTCAGATTAAAATAGCTTCCAGGATATTGTCTTTTTTTAATATTTAAGTTGATTTCTAAACCACACTAAGTTTCATTTATTTTATTGTTAAGGAGTTCCACCCCCACAGTTATTGTTAAGGAGTTCCACCCCCCACAGTAGCTGTTTGAATCTATAAAACTTCTGCATTTTGTGGAAATTCCATTTACTACTTTTATTTGCATGGTTAATTTAATTTTATTTAGATTTTCAATGAGAAAGTCACTATAAAATTAAATTAGTGTGTAATAAGTAAATTAATGCTGGGTAGCAATGGTAGTATATATTACTGTTGTAAAGAGAAGAGGAGCTGTGACTTAGGCACCACTTCTGAAGTAACTGTAGTGGGAAGCTGCTGATTAACGCAAGATGATTACCCATACGTTATACTGAAGAGTAACAGTTTAAAAAAGCATAGTCTTCAAAATGTAAAATCCATATGATTGGAATACTTGTTATACTTGTTTTCTTAAATGTAAATCAACTGGAAAGTTGAACTGAAATGTATTTAAATTTTGTTAGCTTTTTATTTATTAATTTTTTTTTAAAGTCTAAATGTGTTTTATAGTCCATTTTCTCCTTTCAGATAGATGCTAATGCTAACTTTTCATATAATTTCAAATTCTGTTTTCAGAGTTCTTGAATTACAAATGTTATGTTCAAGTTTGTTAAAAAGTCTACACTTTTTTCAAGAATTAAAAGTTTTGTTTATATTGACACTTTCTTTTAGAATTTTAGGCGTAGATTACAAATCCTTTATGATATATTATTGAGCCAGAACTCCATTTGTATGGATATGGAAAATCCAAAAGAAGAACAATTTTGGATTTACTAATTCAGAAGTCAAACAACAAAAATCAGCGTTATATTTTCAAAATTTTCACAGGACTAGTTTCGATGGTTTTACCGAACCACCATCCTCAGCTGCAAAACTGCAAATGAACAAATAGGAAATAATAATTAGATAAGATAAGAAAGCCTGGACAGGAATAAGCAAGTGGCGCCATCTGTTGATGAAACCAGAGCTAAAACATAATTTCTTTAAAGGCAACGATGGATTGGAATTAGGATTGTTAACTAGAACAGAAAGATTTTTTTGAATGTGAAATGCCTCTAGAAAATTTCTAGAATCTATTTTCTAGAGGTATTTCACATTCAACAAAATCTTTCTGTTTTAGTTCTAGAAATTTCTAGAATCTATTTTCTAGAGGCATTTCACATTCAAAAAAATCTTTCTGTTCTAGTTAACGATCTTAATTCCAATCCATCTTTGCCTTCGGCCTTTAAAGAAATTATGTTTTAGTTCTGGTTTCATCAACAGATGGCGCCACTTGCTTATTCTTGTCCAGGCTTTCTTATCCTGTCTAATCATTATTTCCTATCTTGTTCATTTGCGGTTTTGCAGCTGAGGATGGTGGTTCAGTAAAAACATCGAAACTAGTCCTGTGAAAATTTTGAAAATATAACGCTGATTTTTGTTGTTTGACTTCTGAATTAGTATTTGTTCGGCATGTTATTGTGTCTTAATTTTGGATTTATTATCTTTATGAATTTGATTTTAGTTTGAATTGCATTAATTTAAGAATAAGTGTTTTGCCTTAAAATTCTGTAGTAAAATAATCATTTAAACGTAAAATTATGTTTCTTTATTGAATGCTATAGGGTTGTCATTTGATCGTAAGCTATTCATTGTAGAAATGCTGAAAAAGTTTGGTTGTATTAGTAGTTCACCAATTCTTTGCTCTGTCACATATGAACCTTTTTATAAGGTATGCAGAATACATTTTTTCAAAGTAAGCAGTATGGATTTAAGTTGCAAGCCAATCAAAGTACAAAAAAATGCCACCAATTTCTGTAGTTTCATTATATCCTTAGAATAAGATAATCCAAGGCTTTCCCTGAAAATGTGGAACTACAGATAATAGTGTCCACTCTATGAAGTGTGATATTTATCTGCATTAAGATGAATAAATTGTTATCTAACTTCAATTGGCATGGATCCTTTCCATCATATTTTAAAGCCATTCAGCAGGGGTGTAAAATAATCATGTGTCTGAGGAATGACCTGAATTCTGATAACTCATACTGGGTTCCACACAAAACGTTTTCATCTCCCTGTTTGGTTACATTGCTCCATAACAGAATTTCTTAAACTGTGGGTTACAGGATCTGCAGCAGGGTTCGCCAACAATTTTAGCAGTTTTGATATTTTTTAACTTATTATAATAATTTTACAATTACCAAATATCTTTACATAGTGTATCTGAAAATAGATAAAGATAAGACAATACAGACAAAGAAAAAAACGAAAATGTTTCGATGTGTTCTTTTTGTAATATTAACGTTCGTTTTCCTTGCTTTGCATGTGACGCTGTATTTCGTCTGTTATTTATTTAAAATTTTCACTTGTTCTGTCTTAAAATTAGAAATTAAAGTTAATGACTTTTCTGTCTTAAAATTAGAAATTAAAGTTAATGACCTAAAACTGCAATAGTATATTACAGTACAAGTTTAAAAATTGACATTTTAACTCGCACATGTGTCAGATTTGTGCAATACTTAGGGAAGTCCCACAAAATTTTTGTAAATATTATGGGGTCCTGGGGGTCACTAAAAAATCTCGGTGATAAAAAGGGGTCGCGACTGAAAAAAGTTTAAGAAACCCTGCTCCATAACATGCGTGCGTGCAGATGCTCATGGTTGCAGTTCCATTCAGAAGATAGTACTGGGAGGGTTTGAGTTGCTCTGTTTCACTGTTAAGTTCTATTCTTCACCTGGTATGTCTTGAAACATAACCAACAGTTTATCTTTTTTTTTATTTTCTGACTTCTGTTTTTTGGTCCATTGTAAATTACAGATACCATACCTGTGGCTACATGGATATAAATGTGTATGTAATAGGATACTGTCTACAGACCTTTTTCATTAACTAATGCATTAAGCCTCCAAGGCTTGCTAATGAGATCTAAAAATAGGTGTACAGATACATTTCTATTCTTTTTGTCATGTTACTATCAGCAGTTGCTATGTTGATGACTTGATTTTCAAACTTGTAAAGTCATTGCTCTTTAACTTATCCCATAGTGTGCTGTGGGATTGAATTCACAGCTCTGAGTAGGGCAGACCAAATATATCTGACATATCTCAATTTATTGTATAACTGAGAATTGCTTTATGGTTAGATGTGTTGCCATGTATTAAGTCTCATTGGCAAAACGTTGATAAGTCAAAGATACCAGGATTGGCTTCCTTGTTAAATTGTGTCCGTCGGTCATTAGTCTGCAACCATGTATCATAAAAACATTCCCCTGCAAGAATAATTGAACCTCCCTAACTGGAACAGTGTACAGCATTAAATACAGTGTCAACATGCCCATACTATTAAATATAGTGTCACAAACTTGGCTATGTGTTCACATACATTGCACATTGTGCTTGAATATATTAATCATCAGACCCATTTCTGAAAGTGCAAGACATTATTATTACACCATGCATAATTCATGAACAGTATCTTTAGTACTACAGGAAGCTTATATACAGCTGCACACACATTAAAAATTTCATGAAGTTCTATGTGAAAACTACTTGTGCACATAGTCTTAGTTGTACACTTTATGCTTAACTCTTCTATTAATATTCATTTCTATTAGTTATGGTATGTTTTCAAAACCATTGACTTGAACATATGGTGCAGACACTATGTGGTGCTTCTGATAGGCAAACTGCTAGTATGAAATGATTTAGAAAGGCCAGAGACTTACTTCTGTACCATCTCAGAGTGCAGTGCTCAGCATCAAGGTGAGCAGCACATAGTAATTTGGAGGAAATGTCCAATGATTCTTGACTATATAGTGTACATGTTATGCTCTTTAATTACAAGAAATTAGGTGTAAAGGAAGCAGAAAGGTGTAACGGATTATGTATACTTCATGCACTCTTCAGGCTAGTTACATAAATCAGAAAAAATGTGTCATTGGATCATGTCATTAAAATGTCTTATGCCAAAGAGTTTTGAAGAACTTTGAAGTGAAATGGGGAAAATATAATCAGAACTGAAGTTTTTTTAAAATTGTAAAGCTATTTGCTTTATGCAGTTCTACTAATGCATGCCTCTTTAATGGTTCAGGATAAATTTATAGTGACTAATTGACTCTTGTCATTCAGCAGAAGTTTTATCTGTGGATATAAAGGAGATAAATCATAATACTCACTGTCATATGGTGTAATAGTTAAGTATTATATAATAGCTATTTACACTATATAACAGATAAGTATTATAGAATACTGGTTGCAGTGTAACGATATTTTAATTTAAAGAGAACTATATAGAAAAGTAACTAGTAAGTAGAGCATTGCAAGGTACTAAGTACAGATTATCAATACAGTACAAAATCTGAGATCTGGAGTCGCTGGAATTTCAGTGATTTCAGAATTTTTTGTAGTTTAGAGCATCAGTTTAGTAAGATTATAGGCAAAAATTATAAAATGAAAAATATTAAATAGTTGATTATGAAATAATGTATTTATGATCTTAAGAGAATCAAAATTTACAAAAAAAAAAAAAAAAAAAAAAAAAAAACTCATTATTTATTTGTTGCATTAAGCATTTCTGTCAGTGTAACTTATTTAAACTGTTTCTTTCTTTTCTGCTTCCTTGTACGAAGTAAAGAAAGTATTGTAATCACGAAAAATTCCGGAAATCATATTTTAATGAAAGTATCCATCTTGACTGCTATCGAATGCAATTTAGTGATATTTTTGCATGAGTAAAGGACTCTTTTCCCCCAAACGAATTATAAAACATTTAAAATGAATTCAGGAGAGAT